TAAAAAAAAAAGATAAGAGACTTTTTTCTAATTTTTTAATATTTTATTTATTTTTGAAAGAGAGAGCGAGCGTGCGCGAGCGTAAGAGGGACAGTGGGGGGAGGGGGTGCAGACACAGAATCTGAAGCAGGCCCCAGGCTCTGATCTGTCAGCACAGAGCCCAGTGTGGGGCTTGAATCCACAAACCATGAGATCATGACTTGAGCTGAAGCTGGACCCTTAACCAACCAAGCCACCCAGGCGCCCCAGGAGACTTTTTAAACGTACATTTGGACAGTGATCGACAGTTCTTAAATGTCTTCATTTTTCAACAACTTAACTGATGCCTACTATGAATCAGACACATATGACAAGATAAGTATCATATCTTAGGGACACGTAAGTGATTGATACAGGTAAAGTCCTTGCTCTCCTGAAACCTAAAATTTATCTTTAATGTAGACTAAGTAAATTATATTCCTAGAAATTATAAAGTATAAAATCAGAGCTTACAGACTTAGAGATGATTTTCCTAAAGCCATACAAGGGCACAAATTAGACTGTAAGACAGGTTTCTGATTCTTCAAGCAGTGCCCTTTCCACTACATCTCAGTTTCCCAAGAGATACAATGAATGATAGTATCTGTGGCACATTCTAAGACTCCTCAGAACATGGTAATGGGCCCACAGTTTTACCAATATTTGAAAAAACAAAGGTCTAAAACAAAAATCAGACATTTCTTACCTCATAGCCTTTACCTTTGAATTTTGCCTTATCAAACACATGCCGTAATGCCGGAAGCCCTCTCTCTGAAATTAATCTGTAGAGAGAAATAGGTTTTGAATTTCCAGTTTGCTAGAGCCATCAAGGAGAAAAAGCAAAACCGTAAGAAGAAAAAATATTATCTGAACTGAAAAAATATGTCTTTAGAAATAACTGATCCCCCAATCAGCCCAACTAAAAGTTGGTGCTTTTTTCCAAATGTTTATTTGTTTTTGAGAGACAGCGCAAGCCAGGGAGGGGCAGAGAGAGAGGGGGACAGAGGATCAGAAGCAGGCTCTGGGCTGACAGCAGCGAGCCTGATGCAGGGCTTGAACCCATAAACTGTGAGATCACAACCTGAGCCGAAGTCAGACGGTCAACTGACTGAGCCACCCAGGTGCCCCCTAAAAGTTTTTAATATAAGGGGAAAAAAAAAATGTAAAGAAAAAGTATAAATGTTTAAGAAAATAGTCAATGTACCTCTGAGCATCCAGCCTGGGTATATTCCGTTTAACTGTTCTCTTTGGAGGTACAGGAACAGGTGCTCCTCTCCCTAACTCTGGTGAAATATATTAAGATTTAATATTACTTAAATAATTTAAGTGTCATTTACAAAATGTCTCATTTCTATGCTGATAGATGGATAACAGAACGTGGGCACTCTTTTGGAACTCCATACAGACCTTCATCAGGTTCAGCTCCCTCACCATCTTCTCTCTGTGGAGACGCTGGAGGTGGGAAAGGAGGAAAAGTTTCATCTTCCACATGCTCATAATCTGGTAGGTCAATCAAGCCATTCTGTGGTTCCAGCATCTTTTCTTCTACAAGAAAAAATAAACATGTTTATTCATCCAAGTAATCTATTATACAGTTAAGTTCTACCCGCAGCAAAATGCACGTGTTTCAGTCAGTTAAACCACATTTCAAACTCGTATCATGAAAAGAATAGAAAGTGGTTATAGGAAAAATAGAACTGGGTTAGAAATCAAAACCGGGGCACCTGGGTGGCTCAGTCGGTTAAATGTCTGACTTCCACTCAGGTCATGATCTCATGGTTCATGAGTTCAAGCCCTGC